AAACATGTGGCTACTGCCTCTCAAGGAGATTTTTGATCTGTCCTTTGTGGGTCTCTCGTATTAAATGCAAAGATGTTTATTCAGATTGGACCCTGCAATGCATTAAGTCATAAATTGATGAGGAACCCCACCAGCCCTTGAATAATGGACAGAACCAGGCCATTTTTTACTCTCCCCAGGTACAAGTTCATGTTCAGTTATGCAGGCAATACCCACTTAAGTGAAGACTTCCGAGAAGAAATGATTAAGAGTCATGCAAAGTACTCAAGAAAAAAGAGGACTGAGTCACATGACACATTAGAAATACTGTGCTTATAATTTATTACATTGTAACAAATTATTTGACAGAATCTTAAGAATAACATATATTTGTATCCCTAGAACAAATGTTGAGTAGAACCCATTTAGGGAAATGTTTCATATATACTTTATCATCAACCACAGTGACTGAAACGAACTGAGACCGGGAATGATACTCATTTGATGAACATTGCTTGAACTTAATAACTGGCCATTGCTGAGATTAATATGGAACCATTTTCAATGACATTCCCAGGGGTTTTAGCGAGCGCCCCATGATCTGAATGAGCGCTCCGAGAAGCTAGCCTGCCAGACTCTGGTAGCAGGGACAGACTTCCTCACTCCACCCTCAACAGACAGGTGGAGCAACAGACTTGAGTTTTCAGATGTACTCCCCTGTGAGGATGGTCTACAGACCTATTCCTCCCACACCCTGCACAGACCATGGCGGTGCAGCCACACGGTGCCTTAGCTCTGCAAATGAAGGAATAATGTGTGCTTTAAAGCTCTTAAGAGCTTAAGGAGAGATGAAGCTCCTAAATCCATAGCCCATTAAGCAGACACTAATGTCTCTGTGAAGTCCCTGACAGGTCTGCTTAAGAGGATTACTAATGTTCCATCAAAAGAAGCCCAAATAGGAGGCCGAGAGAAAGCTTAGGCAACATGTCAGAGATTTCTTTAATTTTAGCACTCAACGGGGCACTGGTTTTAAGGCTTAAAAAGCCATCTGTGGAGCTATCAGGCAGCCCTTTCAACTTATTATTTATTTTACTTGTGTCTCTACTGACACAGAACTTACTACATGCTGGGCCCTGTTCTAAGAAGCACTTACTAATAGTAACTAATTTAATCCCCGTAATAGCCCTGCTCACAGGGCTGTTTCCTCAGCCATGTTTTACAGCTGACAAAACTGAGGCACACAGGGGTCACTTGGCTAGAAATTCCACCCTCCCTGAAACTTCCAGCCAGGTTGTCCCTGGTTCCCACTGCACCCATGGCACTGAATGTGGTCATACTAGCCCTCAGTCCTTCCCCGTCGGATCCTGACCTTCCCGAGGCCAGAGCCCCAGCTACTCCTCCCCGTGCTCTCACGCACCACTAGTGCCCAACACATACTGGCTCCATGGATCAAAAAGGGGCAGGTGGGCACCTCTTGTCTGAAATCCTCGGGGCCACCTGGGTATGGAAATGCAGAATATTTTGAATTTTAGGAAGTGCAGTGCATGCATTATACATGATCACCACGGACAGATCTGGGACAGCAGGCCATAATAAAACCCACTGGCATTTCTATGGCTAAACTTACAAATGGCCATGCTAAATGAGTAAACAAACACTATAAACGCAGGTAACGACTAGAGATAGCGTCACAAGACTTCCGGTGAGGCTCTACCATCAGGTAAGCTGTGAAGAAAAAAAGAAAAGCGCTTGGTGTTCAGAGCATTCCGGATTTTGGAATGGCAGGTAAGGATGGAGGGCCCATTTCCATGAAGGTCGCCCAGACAGCTCTGCAGACATCAGGGCACCGTGTAACGGCAAGATGTCCCGTCCATGCTACGTCCCCATGACCACAATGAGAACCTGGAGGACACCTACTGGAGACCTGGGTCCGGAGTGGGCTCTTGGGGCATATGCACCTACTCGGGGAGACCAGAGAGGTGTGTGGGGTAAAGAAAACAGCCCTGGACTAAGGCATAGCGGAAAAGATTCAGAGGCAACTCTAGTCGCTCCGAGCCAGTTATTTTGGGAAAAGCACAAGACCAACTTGGCAAACATCCACAGGCTGGTAAAGGTGTCATAAAAAAAAAATAGTTCCACGCTTCAGTGTTGGCTTATGTAGGATTTCACAGCGTTGTCTGGTCCAAAAAAAAAGAAAAAAAAAATCCTCCCTCCTTTCATCTTTTCAAATGAAGTGACCTCCTGTTGTCCTCAACTGTGTGCTCAAGGGCAGCCATCATGCTGTGACAAATAACCATAAACACGGTGGCTTAACAGAACACGAAGCTATTACAGCTATTATCTTATAGTTCTGGAAGGCCAGAAGTCCAAAATGTGTCTCACTGGGCTAAGAAGGTGTCAGCAGGGCTGCGCTCCTTCTGGAGGCCATTGGGACAGACTGTTGCCCTGCCTGCTCCAGCTCTCACAGGCCACCTGCGTTCCTTGGCTCATGGTCCCTTCCTTCACTGTCAAACGGGAAATGGAAGGCGAAGACTTTCTCACCCCACATCACTCTGACCGGCTCTGGCCCTCCTACCTCCCTCTTTCACTTTTCAGGAGCTTTGTTTTTATAGCAGGCTCACCTGGATAATCTCCTCATCTCAAAATCTTAAATTAATCACATCTGGCAAGTTCGCTGCCTTGCACTGTCACATATGCACAAGTTTTGGGAATTAGGATCAGGGCATATTTGGGGGGTGGGTGGGGAGGCAGTAGTGTCTACAAGAATATCTAAATTTCTTTTGCATTGCCAGCATCTAATGCAGCGCCAGGCCCACAGCAGAGACTTAATAAATGTCGGCTCAGCTTTTATTCATATTACTTAAATGTCTCCAAGCATTAGTTCCCTCATCTATAAACAGAGATAAAAATACCTATTAGGAGCCTCACATGAAATAATGCATATGAAAGTGCTCTGATAACTGTAAAGAACCCCCAAAATGAAGATCAGATCTCACTGACTAGTAGTAGGACATCCACACATCCATTTGTGAAAGAGCTAGTATATAAATAAGGAAAGACAGGCAGCAGGATGCTAAGAGCATTTGATGAAATTCAGTAAGGCATTACGGAAGAGAGTCAGTCGCCGGGGGATCTAAGTCATGTTATTATGTGGCTTTGAGGTAGTCCGGTTTGGGACAGTACATAATTCAGTGCCCAAATTTAAGAGGGCACTATTAATGTTTACTCTGGGACGGAAGTATCAGCTAGGACTCTTGCAGGCAAACAAAACACGTGGTCACCCCACATACTACACAGGGCTTGGGCGCCAGACTGCCTGCAGCCAAATCCAGATCCATGCTTAGAGCTTTGAGACTTGGGGCACATTATTTAACCCCTCTCTGTCTTGGTTTCCTCTTCTGTAAAAGAGGGATAACAGACCCCCCCCCCGCCCCCCCAGTGCTGGTGTGAGGATCAGATGAGTGATTCCATATGGAGCATTCAGAACAGCACCCAGAACACACTAGGAGGTCAGTAGAAGTTAGCGATCATTATACAGCAAAGCCAGCCATACTCTACATTCTCACAAATCCTCGGCACAGAACTCCTACTGTTTTCCCACAAGCCCAGCCAGAAGGCAAAGGGCTGGCATGGCTTAGCACCAGTAAACACATCTCCTGGACAGGTGACAATCTTTTCGTTGATACCTGCTCCCTCAGACCCCCATTTCTGCTTTTCCATCCCCGCCCTTGAGCTCACTGTGGAAGGCCAAGCTGCGGTGCCGGCCTGTACTCCTACAGTGCTTGGTCATGAAATATAGCCAAGCCCTTTGTTATTAGAGCAGGAGACAGGATGACTGGAAGATTAACTCCCTAAAGCAGCAGTCTCTGCAGTGAGTGCTGCTGTGTCCAGCTGATAGAGGGGGTGATATTTCCCTTCTAATTTTAAACTTCAGCACACTAAAATTATAATGTGCTCACGTCATTTTAAATGCAAGCTGCACAAACATGTTCCTGCATAGATTGCCTCTTGTCACCTTCTGTCCTAAACGAAACCCAAGTTATTATGTCTCAACAGAGAGATGTAACAAGTACAAACTTAACTGCTTTCTGCTGAGCTTGGAATAATGATAATGATTATGCTATTTGTACAGATTATAAAAATATTAGCTACAGCAATTAATATTGATTCAGTGCACAGTACGTGCCAGGCATTGTTCGAAGCGCATCCTGGGCATGAAGGCTCCAACAAGTCTATGAAGTAGGGACTGTTAGGATCCCCATTTACAGATGAGGAGAAAGCACAGAGAGGCGAAGGGAAGGACGAAACTCCGGCAGTCTAACTTGACACTTCATGCTCTTAAACGCAAACTCTGCTCCCTCTTGAGCGGGAAAGCAAACACCCCTCTTGCACGGCAGGAGCCATCCTGGGATACTGCATTACTGAAAAGAACAAGCCGTCCACTCATCTGTGCGTTTGCTGGGCCCTCTGTGCCCAATGCCAGCATCTCCTTTGTCTGCCTGGCAAACTCCTACACATCCTGTACCCCCCTGCTCTCTTCCAGCCCCCAGCATAGCAGTGGGCACACCGTAGGCTCCCAAGGCAAAAAGTGAGATTTCAGTGTGGCAGCTAGTCAGCAACTGTTAAATTCTGTTAAGCACTGATGTTTCAACAGTATCAGCTACACAAAGGGATTCAAAGCAGGTTTTCTTTTCAGAGTAAGCTTTCTCAGGTTAATTTAAGATATGACTTGAGTGACAAGGCTGTGACTGGCATTTACCCGAGAGCACGTTAGACATGATGAGGGTACGCACAGGGCTGCAACGCGTAGCTTCACACAAATAAACCTCATGCATTTCAGGAGAGGCAGGGCTGTTGGTTTCCTTCAACTCCGTTTACTAAAGCTACACGGACTCAGAAGCACCTGCCACCAGAACCATCCACTCTCTTCTAGTGCCACGAGCCCACTCCCCACCCCCGGACACAGGGGAAGCTGGGTGTGAGGCTGCAGTGTGACACCTGAATTCCACCAGCCACCTTACTTGTTAATGTTGCTGCCTTCTTTGAGTCGCTCTCCCGCAGCTCCTGTTTTGGACACTCTTTCACTACCCGCCAGGTCCACCAGGCTGACCTTACTGACCTTCTCTCCCGAGTTCTGGGTGCAGGGAACAAGAGAGAAACAACACACGTGAGTGCAAATGCACACGTCCACACCGATGTCTGCACGGTAACTGAGGGCAGCCGGAGTACCCCTGCCCCCACAACAGGGCAGGGGAGGAGCTATGTGGACTCGTGATTTCATGGTCAAATTTATTTTTTTAATTTTTACTTTTTTAAAAAGTTTTATTCATTCAAGTCATCTCTACACCCAACGTGGGGCTCAAACTCACGACCCCGAGATTAAGAGTCACATGCTCGTCTACCTGGGTCAGCCAGGCGCCCCATCACAGTCAAATTTGAACTGGTGCACGCTTGCTTTGTTGCTGGGGAGCAAGCCCACTCAGCTTTCCAGGATGCGGTCAGAGAGCCGGAGATTTTCTGTGCCTTTGAGGAAACACATGAGGATTCCTGCATATTCAGGTCAAATTCCTCTTCTTTTGAAAAAGTGTTCTTTAGGCTAAATGTTGTGGTTTCCTCCTTAATAGCCCTTAATGGCTGTGAGGTAGACTCCCGTTGTTTTTAGGGGAATTTCACGATGAAAGGATACATATTAAAAGCTGTATGGTGACATCATCATGCCGTTCAGGGAGTTTACACAAGAAACCCAATTTTTAAAAAAAGTTATATATAAAGGAAGACCTGATAAACTGAATGATTTAAGTAAAGTAGCTTATTTAGTAAGCACCAAAGCCAGCATAAAATTCTCAGCAACCGAATCCACCCACGAAACCCTTCACCCCTGCGGGATATTTGCGTTCTTTTCCTGCACTGAAGGCGCTCCCCAGGCCCTCACCCCAGACTGCAGGTCATAAAGCGTCTGTGTGATTACGATGTTGAACACAGCATGGGAGCGGCTGCTTTCCTCATTCATGTTAGTCGCAGCTACCGTCCGAGACTTATTTCCCTCAGACATCAATGACTCAATATCCTAGAGGCAAAGCAGAAGGAACACAGGATAAGCGCAAACAGAGGAATGCAGTCCTGCCCACCAGGTGCACGGATTAATTACAAGCCCGGGGACGTGCTTGGCCCCGCCCTTCCGTAAGGACCGCCTCCCCGTCTGCCTTCTGCGGCGAAGGGGGTGAGCCTCCGCCTCTCTCACCGCCTTCTGGAGTATGAAATGTTCCCCCCATTCCGGCCATCCCGCAATTGTCCCCTTTCTCTGTCTGGCGCCTCTTTTTTCCCTTTGCAAGTTCCTGGGGGAGAAAGGAGCTAATGTTTATGGAGCACTCCAGATACTCACTATAAGGTAGTGACCTTATGTGACTGTAACTCTCCTGTGCTTAACGACTCTGCAGAGCTATCCACGGCTTGTTTATGTCGCCGCCTCGGCAGGGAATGCTCCTTATTCATCTTTGAACACCTAGAACCCACGGGCTCTTACACGTTAGATGCATGAACTTTATAATAAACAAGTATTCCCCTGATGTTACCCACAGAACACTGACGATCACAGAGCTCAAGTAACTTTTCCCACATCTAGTAAGAGGCAGAGTGGGGATGCAAATCACAAGCTCTTACTAATAAGTGACAGGGTGAGATGAACACGGACCCTGACCACACTGAGCTGTGAACCACACACCTGAGCAAAGGTGCTGACTTTTAGCACCTTGACGCCAGAGAGGTTTCCCTTCATTTCAGAATCTAGGTGCTTTTAAAGTGATGGCTGTACTGTTTCTCATTTGAGTGATACTAAAAATGTCTTCATCTAAATGGCTGGGGGGAGTTAGTTCACAGATTAATTTTCGTCATACTGAGTTGAGGGGATGGTGGGACAGCCACAAGCCGTCTAGGCAGAGCATGACTAGGCAGAGGACACCTTCACGCACCCGTGGGTCGGCATTCTCCAGCAACACAGAGCGGGCTGTTTTGGGGGGTTTCTGAAGCAGTGACAATAGAAGTAAGGCTAAAACATCAAGTCGGGATGTAAAAAGGCATACAAGTCAAGGAGCAGAAAAAGGAGACAGGTCCGTCAATGGAGAGAGGAGCGATTCAGAAAAACAGAACCAGAAGACTGAAAAGTAATGGAAATGAGCACAGAAGATCCCGTCAGCAGGAAGGGAATGAACGGATTACCCAACGCTGCTTACGTGCGACCAGGTTTCTCTAGAAGGACATCACTGACAACCTTGGGGAGAAGAGTTTCAACAAGGCGGCATGAAAGAAAATACTCAGCAGTTCACACTGGTGAGCCTCTTGGCTGCATTGTCACGCCTTCACAACAAAGCAGGTTGAAGCCCTTTCTTTCCGTGTAGGGTGTGTTGCTACCGGGTTTCTGAGACCACACATGGTACCAATATGCTACAAAGCACTCACATAAAAATACACTCAACATTACCTACACATTTCAATTTATTGACTTTTTTTTTTTTTTTAATGACACTTACCTCAAAACTAGTGACAGCCAGCTGGGATAAACCGTCTACATATGGTCCCAAAACTTTATGCTCTCGAACTTTAAGAGACTGTCTATTCCTTTGGGAGGAAGGAAATAGGAATGAATGAATCAGACCAAACTGGGAAGCTTTTCTTTCTTTTTAGGTACTCAAAAACTGAGGTTGCCATTTTTTTAATGATCAAAAAATATTCTAAAAGCTACTTTATTTGGATTAGGAAAACAGCATTCCTTTTGAGGAATGTCTTTTATACTCTGATTTCTATTTAAAGTAACTTACTATTTAAAAAATTCTATCTCTACTCCCAAACTAAACAGCCAGCACACAGAATTCGAGGGTAAGCTAACTTGCTTGCTTTAGTCGATGAACTTCAGTTTTACACAGGAGGAAAAAAAAAAAGAAGGAAAGAAAACAAAGGAAAGAACATGCAGAATTAAATTTAACCTTAAGATTATTTCATACACAAGCACACTTCCAGTTACAGTAAATCACGTCTAAAAGTTTTGATCAAGTAGTGAACAATATTAAAGTATTTTAATTTGCTTCTTTAAGGCTGAACTGATTTATGCTGCTTCTATGCTAACAATTTCATAAAGTGATAGAGCAGGAAAGCAGTTGTTTGCAGTTACTGATATTTATCCTATATTTAGAACTGACTCTGCTGGTGAAGACTTTAAGACTTTTTAAAAATTTTAAATCACAAACCTGGTTTGGGACCCATTTAAAGCTTATCAACACATAATTGAGATTAAAAGCAAATCTATACATATTATGAGTATATTGCATTTGTCACCTTTTCCATTGCATCAGATATTGATCACCTTTCAAATCAAGTGTCGATGTTTGGCATCACTTAAGTGCGGAAAAATGGAACTAAGAATCAGTGAGTGCTTCCCAAAGTCATGGCACTGTTCCCTAAGAACTTTTTAGTTATCCCATTTAATCTTACAGTAACCTACAAAGTAGGTTTTACTGCCTTTACTGATGAAGAATTCAATGTGACAACGAGCAATTCTGTGTACTCTAAATGTGGGCAGATCAAATGCACATCTTCAAGAGAGCTAGCGGGATGCACACGGATCTGAAACTCTACTCACTTGCCTTGCGCAACCAGAGATTCTTGAATGCTATTCTGGAGCCAGAAAAAGTAACTTAGCACCGTATCAAGTGCTTGTGATGGTGTCTAACACAGGGCATTCTTGTACACTGCTGGTGGGCTGTGAACTGGTACGAGTCCTTTGAAAGACAATTAGGCAGGAGCTCCTAACGCCACAGATTCAGTGTCCTGTTGCCCACAAGTCCACCCCAGATGTATTCCCTAGGAACTCCTACATTTGCACACCCAGAGAACTGTGCAAGAATGCTCAGAGTAGCACTGTAGCAGTAAAAAGTAGAAACCACACAAGTGATAGTAGATGAGACAGACTATGGTATAATCATACAATGAAACACCAAAGAGCAGTAAAAGTGAACGCATTATTACTTCACGTATCAGAATGAATGAATCATTAAGAAGAAAACAGCAAGTCAACAAGGGACATATATGTTATGATGTCCCTTACACAAAGTTTAAAATTGTGCAAAATTCTGTGTAAACTCTAAGGAGGATGACGATAATGAGAAATGTAAAATTCATCACTGTGGTTACCTTGGAGAAGGGTAGGGAATGGAATGGAATCCAAGAGAATCATAAAGGGGTTCAAAAATATTGGTCATGATTAAGCCAAATGGTAAGTAGGACGGTCAATTTTATTATTCTTTATATCTTACGTGTATTATAAATGTTCTTTCATATGCAAATAGTTAATAACTTTAAAGTCAATATAAACATTTCCTATGATTGGTTCACTTCCTTATCACCTACAATTCTGATCTTATGATGATACCCTTGATTACACAGCTGCTAAAAGCATTTAAAAATAATTCAGGATACTGAATTGAATTTAGAGAATGAGCTCAATACTCCCCCCGCCTCCTGGAGACTTGAAACACAGGATCAAAATACACCAAAGTATTAACAATGGTTATTTTTGAGTGGTGGGATTATAGGTCATTTTTATTTCTTCTTACACTTTGCCTATTTTCTAAATTTTCTATGAGTATGTATTTTTAAATCAGCAAAAATTTTTTTTTATGAATCAAACTCATCTGGTTTTTATCACCTAGTTTTTAAAAAATACCCATGCTTGGGATTCCCCTTGGGGCCACTGAATCATGGTCTCAATGCGGGGGGCTCAGGCCAGTGTATGCTTCAAAAGCCCCCCAACATGATTCCAGCGCACAGCCCAGGAAGAGAATGCTTGTCCAGGCTGGTTCCAGCACTTACCTCCAATGTAGAGCTGCTGCCTTCCAACATGAATTGGAGGACCACTGAGTCATTCTTAACTCAATTTTTATGAACAAGCCATGGTAGCAAAAATAATACCGACAGTAAAAACATCTTTTTAAATGGCATATGTAAGCAACTTTACACATGAATACAGGATGAACCATGTATACTGGGTATACCAGTAGGCTTTGAGAAGCAGATGATTTCTCAGTGAATGAACTGAAACCACAGTAGTGACCAAATAAATATATTCACTTGCAGTTTTAACTTAAGGATCATTTACAATTATCATTCCCATGACAAGCTTAATTTCAACCACTAACTTACCCTTTGGGGTCTAAAAGATCCCGAACTTTCTCATTATAAATTTCCATATAGGATACTTCAACTTTAAAGGTCTGTGACTCATTTTGCTCTAGAGAGATCCTTTTAAATAAAGCACAGCAGAGCCTTGGAATAAGGCCCAGCTGCTCAGCACTGCCCATCATGGAGAAGGATTTTCCCGAACCTGAAGAAGAGAAAGCAGAAAGGAAGGAGGACCACAGAGAGAGTGAAACATAATGCTTCCACATGATGAGGTTTCTACATTTATCTGCCAGGGTCACAGAGCAGAAGTGGCAAACGCAGCCTCACGCCCATGCCCCTGGACAGCAAGACTACTATCCTTTCTGTAATGCGCACAACCTCCAGCTTGATGGAGGGATGCCTACAAATAGAACCACTATGAATATGTAATCTTGAAAAGTATATATAGTGAATGTCAACTAAATACATTATTGAGTAACACAGACAGTACTTTACCCCCCAAATATTTTATGTTTGTGAAAATGCTTTGATACGTGTTCTCTTGTCTGAGTCTCGTAGCTGTCCTGTGATGGGACAACAGGCAGTATTAGTGGGACTTATTCTAACTTTCTTGCTGAAGCAGTGTTAATGGCTGAACCCCTAGCGAACTTCTGCTCTGCATGTTCCAAGCACCTGCCCCACCCACAGTCTCGGTTTAATAATCCATTAGCACCCCTGTGTCCCAGGCAAGGTCCTCCGCATAGGATGATACCAAGAGTTGTTCTATAGCTTTTTACTATAACCTTTATACTGAGAAACTGGTAATTATTTTTCTAGTTCAAATACAGGTTAAAACTATAATTTAGGAAAATGACATTTAATAGTTTGAAACTAGCTTTGCTCAATTACTCAATTATCAAAATTGCTGAATCTTCAAAAAGAGGGTTACTTTTGATCATCTAATTCAGCAAAACCCACAAAGTCAGAAGCATGTTTCCATCACTTCCCAAAGTGTTTTCTATTTCTAGACTTTAAGAAATGCATATTTAATGTCATTGGCTATAAATAAAAGCAGCTACTTACCTGTCTGTCCATATGCAAAAATACAAGCATTATACCCCTGAAAGGCTTTTTCAAGAATTCCTTCCCCAAGGCACTTGAAAACCACTTCTTGACCTAAAAACCAAAACAAAAAATAAAAAATTACAAAAGAAAAGAATGATTTTTCTTGATTATGTTTGGATTAATAACTGAGTCCCAGTTAGTAACAACATTCTCTCAATCCAAAGATGTTAAAAGTGTACTGTGTGCCTACTATGTGTAGGGCTATGTGTTAAGAGCTCAGTTCCTGGATCAGTTCATGATTCTACTCATTCTTTCCCTCTCAGACACTTCACTAGGCATAAAAGTTTCCTTTTCATAAAGTTTTCCTTTCCATAGTCAGTGGGCCATACAGAAGGATCGTTTAAATTCTGTTTAGCTTCTTCTCATGAGCTGGTATTAAAATACCATTAAACATAAATGGTCTTATCTCCCCATCTGGATTCTGAGTCTGCAATGAGCAGGAACGTTGTCAGACACATCTTGGTACATGTAAGCACCTAGCAAAACGCTAAGTGCATGCCAAATGCTGAGAAACCGTTCACTGCTGGAAGAGGTGATGTGTGGAGCACAGGCACCTTTACCCTGGTTCCCATGCTGGGTTCGAGGACAAGTTCTCTTCTGTGAGCCTGTCTACAGCTCACGGCAGCTTGTGGGGGTCTTTGGTCATGTACTATATAGCCAGTAGCATCTGGCTGAAGAGTAAAGCTGTGAAAATCTTTTTTTTTTTAAGTAGGCTCCACACCCAATATGGGGCCCGAACCCACAATCCTGAGATCAAGACCTGAAAGGACATCAAGAGTTGGACAGCCAAACGATGGAGCCACACAGGCGCCCCAGGTATAAAAATCTTTTTAAACAGTTAAGGTGGCATTTACTACCCTTTGAAATTTCTGACTTTCTAACATTCATTCCCCATCATTAAGAGAATTAAAATGGTATTCTCCTTCCTCTGTGTTCTCATAGCCCCCAACTTTCACAATTACAGTATTTGCCAAAACTACTGGTTTAAGTACCTTTTCCCGCCACTGGAACGAGAACCCCCTGATTGATGTCAGAGACTATAATCTGTTTATCTTGTAATCCTTGGGCCTGGCACAAAACGCTTAATAAATGTTGAAAAAATGAGTCCAATGAACTTTTTATTTTTTAATCTTACACGACAATTCCTTTTACATTTGGAAATAACGTAAGCTTTCAGGTGTACTGTTTCCTTTATGCAAAGCTGGACCTAATTCTGGCAGTCTCTTGTTACATTGGGACATGCGGCTGCACAGTGGGACTCTCAGAGATGTGTAAGTGCGAAACAAGTAATGTTTCCAACCATTAGGTTGGCAAAACATAAAACCGTGGCAACAATACAGCTGGACTGAGGAAATACAGGCATTTTCATAATCCACCGGGAGGAGAATAAATAATGCAGCCACTTGAAGAAAACCTGACAGCACCTGGAAGAGAGAGAATATGCCTCTACTTGGAGCCAATGTGAGGCACCCACCCTCGAGACATTCCACAAGGGACTCCTGTAACAGAATGCTCACAGCAGCATTATTTTGACTTTCTAAGTTGGAATCAAGTTAAATGCCCATTAGTAAGGAAGTAGAGAAGGAAAATGAGACTATTTTGTATGTTAGAATATTACAAACCATGTAAAAAAAACAAATAGAACACACCTGTGTGTGTAAACAATGCTAAAATTCAAAAACATTGCTGAGTTTAACAAAAGTCGTGTTCCAATACCTTTAATGTATACATATAATGTAAAAAACTTATGTCAAATAGTGTGAAACATCAATTGATGGGCACTGAAGTTGAAAAAAATGAAGTGGAAGAAAAATAACAGATTTACATAACCTTATTTCTCTAATTCTAACTTCTAATATCTAGCACAGAGCCTGGTACCTAAGGGGTATTCAAAACATATTGGCGTAATATGTGGATTTTTAAAAAGGGTGTAACTACTCCTAAATGCACAGGTTTGTTGTGAAGACTAGCTATAGATGTGTGCACACACACTGAAAAGAATAAGGCAATGTCAAAATTTTTATCTACTACATCAATACTTTTTTCCTGTATGTTTTCTCAAAGGATCTTTCTTATTCCACGTGTACTCCCCCCCAAGGCCCATGCCAAAAGGCAGGCCTTAAATCTGGAGCAGAGCCCTGCAGTGTAGAATTTAGAGATTAAACCCGGCCTGCGCTCAGGCTTGTGAGAACCGACCATGGTCCTCAGCCAGACCCAAGTGCCACCCGCAGGCTCTGAAGGCACTGCTTTCTTGGCGCAAGGAGACAAACGGAGCCATCTCGTGGCATCTTCCACCCTGGTTAACCAGTCCCCCTCAGGAAGGGGGTGAGGGTGGGGACAAGATGCTTTAAGACCTGGCCAGGTCAAACATCCTGCCCATAACTCTTGATTTCAACTCATATTTAGTAACTTGAAAAAAAGCAAGAACTTGAGTTGACTGAAGGACTCGACTGCAGGAAGCACTGCGGTCAGAGCTCGACCACAGCCATGCAAGGGCCTGTGGTCACTTAGTCAGGAACCTCTCTCTTCCTATGTTAGGGGGTGAGATGCAATACTTCTAGCTTTTCCTCCTGAGGCTGAGTAGCATGGAAGTATGAGGAATTATTTTCTCCATATTCTTTTATTTTTATTTTTTTTAAAGATTTATTTTAGAGAGAGAAAGTGAGTGGGGGGAGGGACAGAGGGAGAGAATCTCTAAGCAGACTCCCTGCTGAGCGTGGAGCCCAATGCGAGGCTTGATCTCACGACCCTGAGAGATCACGACCTGAGCCGAAACCAAGAGTCAGATGCTCAACTGACTGAGCCACCCAGGAGCCCCTCCATGTTCTCTTAAAGGAAAATCGCAATGTTTTTTTTCCCTTGGTATGAATGGTTTTTTAAACTAAAGAGCATTAGTCAGGGCGCCTGGGTGGCTCAGTTGGTTGGGCGACTGCCTTCGGCTCAGGTCATGATCCTGGAGTCTTGGGATCGAGTCCCGCATCGGGCTCCCTGCTCCGCGGGGAGTCTGCTTCTCCCTCGGATCCTCCCCCCCCTCATGCTCTCTCTATCTCATTCTCTCTCTCAAATAAATAAATAAATAAAATCTTAAAAAAAAAAATAAAGAGCATTAGTCAAAAAAACCAAGAATGAGTGCTACAGAGCTACATGAAATAGGTTTATGACATGTCAAGCGAAAAAAAAAACACAAAACCTTCCAGGATAGGATATATACACTAAAATTGCACACAAAAAAATAAACCAAATGATTAAAGAATTCTCCAGGATATAAAAACACACGAATAAATTGGTTTTGCCTATGTCTAAATTACTACAAATACTAAAGAGGATATGAATTAACCTTTTATTTTTTTTAAGATTTTATTTATTTGAGAGAGTGAGCAAGAGAGTGAGTACAAGTCGGGGTGGGGTGCAGAGGGGCAGAGGGAGAGGGAGAAGCAGGCTCCCCACTGAGCAGGGAGCCTGATGTGGGGCTCGATCTCAGAACCCTGGGATCATGACCTGAGCGGAAGTCAGACGCTTAACTGACTAAGCCACTCAGGTACCCCGATAAATTAACCTTTTAAACTTGTATACTTTTATTATTTGCGCAACTAAGAAGAAGAGAATTAATTTTTATCAAGTGCCCCAATAGCAATGCACTTTACATATTTTGTATCATTGAATCCTTGCAGACCCCAGGGCCAGTAGGATCTGTAAGGAGGCTGAGGTTCTAAAGGGGAGTCATTTGTCCAAGATCACACAGACAGTGAGTGGCAGGGCCTGGGTCTGTCTGTACTGCCTCTTGAACGTTAAAGGAGATGCTCACCCATCATCAGTGACTCAGAGGGCACGACAGCACGAGTCAGTTACTCCCACCTCTGGGCTTCGTGGTTTTGTGTGTTTATTTGTTTTTACAAACTCTAGGTCTTATTATTCCTCACTATTTTTTTTCCATTTTTTTCTCTACCACTGGATTGCGAGTTTCATTTTTTGAAAGATTTTATTTATTTATTCATTTGAGGGGGGAGGGGCAACGGGAGAGGGAGAGAGAGAATCTCAAGCAGACTCTATACTTAGCACGGAGCCTGATGCGGGGCTCGATCTCACGACTCTGAGATCATGACCTGAGCTGAAATCAAGAGTCAGATGCCCAACTGACTGAGCCTCCCCGACGTCCTGTGAGCTTTAAAAATGTTGCTGAATCTTAGCAGACTACCTGGCAAACAGTAGACACTTTTACTTCCTGAGTTATTCCTGTATGTTGCCATAGCTGTCCTCAGACTAAAGTGTATTTAATTGGGGGCCCCTTTCCTCATTAGTGAGGACTGAGGCATCAAATATTGTCTGTTGAACTTAAAAAGAAACACTTGGGGTATCTGGCTGGCTCAGCTGGTACAGCATGAAACTCTTGATCTTAGGGTTTTGAGTTCGAGCCCCACATTGCACGTGGAGATCACTTCAAAATAAAAAATTTAAAAAAAAAGGTTTAATTGCATTAGAGTTTATACTTTGGTCAAAGTATGACTGTTTTGGGGTGCCTGGGTGGCTCAGTAGTTAAACGTCTGCCTTCAGCTCAGGTCATGATCCCAGGGTCTTGGGATCGAGCCCCGCCCGCATCGGGCTCCCTGCTCAGCAGGAAGCCTGCTTCTCCCTCTCCCACTCCCCCTGCTTGTGTTCCCTTTCTCGCTCTCTGTCAAATAAATAAAAATCAAATGTTTAAAAAAAAAACAAAACACAAAGTATGACTGTTTTTGAAATTTTAATGAGCCCCTAAAGACTAGAGTACCCTTGGTTACATAAGGTACTGGGGATAGACGTGAATAGATGTGTTAATGAAATATGTATCTACTAATTGAATAATTTTGATAAAAATGACAGATTATATACTTTTCCTGGCACCCACAGTAACCTCCCGGACATTAAAACGAAATATATGTGACAGAAAAAAACCAAACTAGTCTCTCTGATTTCCATTAAATATATGCATATGCTTTTCAAAAAGTCAAGTTCTCTTAGATATTTACAGTTATGCTTGACAGAATATACTTCAGATTTATCATATTTAATCAAGT